CATATTCATTCAATGGTGATGATTTTTTTTTTTGGGCTACAGATTCTGAATGATTTACATTTACTTTGAAATATTCATATATCATGTGTGTGTGTGTGTGTGCAACAACAGAATCACTGGATTTTGATTTTTTTTTTTTTTTGTGAATGAAAACACCACACTAATGATATGGGCAATAAAACTATTAAATTCAAATTAATTTTGTAGCTACTGGAATTATCAATTTCATTTTTTCATTCAGGTTTTCTTTTTTTGTATCTCTCTCTGTGTGTATATGTTTCTCTGGTAATTGCTTTATGGCTTTTTTTTTGGTGGTTTTTTGTGTTGTCCAATTCATACTAATGATAATTAGTGTCAAATGTTGACCGAAATGTTGTTTTTTTTTGTACTCCTAAAGACGCTGCACTTTTGACCAGATACAAACAAAAATGATGATGATGGTCATCATCAATCGTTGTAATTGATGATGATCATGATGATGATCATTTGGTCATCATTATTATCAGAAAAGAACCCTTGCCATAAAAAAAAGTTCAACACAACAAAGGTAATAATTGAGTAATTAGGAAAAAAAACGACAACAACAACAACAGCAGCACAGAATTCATTCATTATCATTATTGATAGTATAATGAGTGATCAATAATTATAAAAAAAAAATTCATATTACCCATTCATTATCTATGAAAGTAATTTGGACTACTACTTATGACTGGCTAATTGCACCTTTGTTGGTTTTTTTTGTTGTTGTTGTTGTTATTTGATTCACAATCATTAATCGATAATTTGAATCGAATGATAAAAAGTTCAGTAAGGTAACCATTACCAATCACCGATTTTGGCTTTTTTTATTATATATTCGGCATATTTTTTTTCTTCTCGTTCATTTGTTTGTTTGTTTGTCCATGAATTTACATTTGGTGACGCGAGCGTGGCGGCTATCGATTAGAATTTTTTTTTTTTTGTTGTTGTTTTTTTTCAACAACAACATTGTAACTAGTTGTTGCATTTGCTTACGACACACAAACAAGCTGATCATTTTGATGAATTTCAGGTTAAAAAATTCCTCAACGTCTCATGTGACTCATTTTGGTTTGATTTTTGAAACTTTTCGGCAACTGATTTTTGGGTTTGTTTTGGTTTTTGTCAACCATCATCATCATCATCATCATCATCATCGTATATATTGATCATTCATTTATCATTTATTTATATATTTCAAATTCTGATCAGTTACCAGAAACAAAACAACAACAAAAAAATTTTTTTTTTTTTTTTGATTGCTTCTGCTTTCCACTTATTCATGTTTAGTCAGTTTATTTATTATTATTATTCTTAATGATAATGATTATTATGTTTAACGTTTCATTTCTCGATGTATCGATTTTTTCGGTTTCATCCTCCTTATTATTATTATTACCATCTTTGAAATCGATAATTTTTGCTCACAAAAAAAAGAGAAGATTCTGATTCTGGACCACTACCACCACCACCACCCAAAACTGCTCTCCCCATTCGAATAAAAGCTGGTTTTTTGGTTTGTTTGGGAAAAAATTTGAATAAAATTTTAATTAAAAAGAAATGGCCAATTTATGTAGAATTTGCTCATTTTTTTTTGTTTTGTTTTATTGTTGCACATTTGTATTTTAAACAACACAAAAAAAACATTGCAGAATTTCTTGTCGATTCTTTCATTGTTTTTGTTTTTTACCGAACAAACGACCCATAACGAGCTAGAGAGAGAGAGAGACAGAATAATTTCTTTTATTTAAATTAATGTCTAAATCGATCGATGGAATTATAAAAAAAAAAATATTCACCGCTTGATGTCGTCGTTTTTTTTTGTTTTGTTTTGTTTTGTTACAATTTTGTCATTAACCTTTAAAATTGGAAATTGTCCAAATTAATCATGCATGTTTCAAGTGCTGATGATGAACCAATAAATCAATCTTGAACAACAACAACAAAAATTCAAATTAATGTGGAAAAAGTACGGAAGAAATGTGATTAGCTGATTGATTGTGAATTAATGGAATTGAATGAATGAATTATTGACTACTACCACCATCATCATCATCATCATCATCATCACTATTTTGTTGGGCCAAAAAAAAGCAATGAATAATCATAGATTTGATGCCAAACCAACAACACAACATCATCGAAGAAAATAAAAATGATAACTAGAAATACTACTGTGCAATAAGCTAATAATAAGCTTTTTATTTATTATAGACGTGTATATGTTTTCAATATAATTGGAAATTTGTGCATGGAACCATCATCATCATCATCATCATAATAATCATCATTTGATCGGCTAAATAGATGGATGGATGGATGTGAGTGCAAACTGTTCGTTTTTTTTTATTTGATTCAATTCAATTTCAATGTTGATGATGATGATGATGATGATGATTAGTTTGAATATAAAAGCCCCCCCCATCACTAGAAAAAATAATGCAATAAAGTTATGAATCTATAAAGAGAAATTGGTATAATTTTGTTATTCAATTTCACCACCACCACCACCACTACCACACCCACCCCACAGAACACCAAGAAAATTGATCACAATTTATATGCATTTTTCCTTTCTTTGCTGTTCCACCACCACCACCACCACCATCAGCCAAAGTCATTTTTTTTCGTTACTTCAGCATCAATTATCGAGAAGAAAAAAAAATCCATCCATCTTAGTCACATCGTCTAACTTTTTTTTCTGGTTATGATACATAATATTTGGTGGGATTAATATGGAAAAAAAACCAGAATTTCCTTTTGGCTTTCCCTTTTAAAAAAAAATTTTATTGAACCTAAATTGATGCTTTAATACCACATTTATTCTCGTTTGTTCAATTCTCTCTGGCTCATTTCCTACTCCGTTTTTAATCATCATCATCATCATCATCAAACACATTTAATTGGCTATAATGAATCGATAATGACACAGATATCATCATTTTTCTTGATAAATTTTTTTTTTTTTTTTTGGTTTGTTTTCTGAAAAACTCGAAAAAAAAATTTTTTCTATTTATTCAGCCATTTAAATCTATCGCCATCATTTTGACATTGATAATACACCCAGAAAAATTGATGTGCAGTGCACATACAAAAAAAAAATTTCGTAGTGGAATCCATTTCAATATACCCAAAGAATAATACACATACACACACACACATATATATATAAAACTGCAACAAACTCCACCATTTATATTTACTACCACCTTTTTTCATCATCATCATCATCATTTACAGTACATATAAATGTTATGTTATATATATATATAAAACGCATGAATAGAGAGAGAGAGAGAGTACCACAATTAGAGAGTTATATCGTTTTTAAATACAAAAAAAAAACTAAACGATAGTAAACACACACACATAAAGAAATAAAATGGGCGGTAATCATCATCATTTAATGGCCAATGATTGGAAAAAAACTTTTATCAATAGGCGGTGCTTACCATTACAAAAAAAAATAAAGAGTGTTTTTTTTGTGTGTGTGTGTGTGTGTGTGTGTGTGTTCATTTTTCCAGTTAGTCAAAAAATGTTTTCTTTTTGTTTTGTTTTGTTTTGTTTTCATAAGTGAATGAGAGAGAGAGAGAGAGAGAGAGAGAGAGAGAGAGAAAATTGTATCTTTGGATGTTAGCGGCCGTTTTTGTGAGTGTCTCTCTCTCTCTCTTTCTATTTCTCTCATTCATTCAATCAAGTTTTAACATACCTACATTCATTCATTGAAAACGACTAACAAAAGTCGTATCAATTACAGTCGACAATATACACTTAAACACAAGTCTATTTTATTATCCATCATCATCATCATCATTATTATTGTTGTCGTGATCATAGAGCCATCATCATCACAGGTACTCACTCTGCTATTTTCTCGTTCAATATCATTTTGTTTGCTCGACAAAATAGCAAGCAAGCAAGCAAAACATTTTGTTTTTTCATTTTTTACCTGAAAATTGAATTTTTATTTTCTCATTATTTATCAATTATCATTTGTGTGTGTGTGTTTGCCAGTGCAAGTGTGTGTGTATATTGAAATAAATGAAATTTTTGTGTTTTTTTCCTTTAAAAAAAATTTAAAATTTGAAATTCATCATCATGACCATTGATATATCATCAAGCCATAATAATGATAATTCAAATGATAATTCAACAGTAACAATTAATAACAATAATAATAATAATAAAATCGATTAAAACGTCGTCGACGACGTATTTCATCATCATCAACATCGACATCTTCGTCATTAAATTTACAAGATAAAATTGAGACAAAAAAATTAAATTTATCATCATCATCAACAACAACAACAACAACAGAATCATCACATAATAGTAATCCATATATTGATTTTATAAATAATACACAAATGATGACCAGTTCGATACCTCCACCACCACCATCCTCAGCTACAAATGATCATTGCGGTGGTGGTGGTGGTGGTGGTGGATCATTATTAACTATGGGCCATCATCATCCACATCAACTTCATCATCATCATCATCATCATCCAACAATAAGACAATTTATACATCCAAATATAATGACACAGATTGGACATCATCAACAACATTCTCATCATCCTCATCATCATATTAGTGCATTTAATCATTTAAATTTTAAAAATCTTTCATCACCACCACCCACCACCACCACCACCATCATCATCATCATCATCATCACCAAAAACAATTGTATCGCAACAACAACAACAAAAATCATCAAATTCATTAAGATCAGAAAGTCATTCAAGTAGTAGTGAAGAAAATGTTGGTAATGGTGGTGGTGATGATGTAAAAAATCATCATTCATCAATAATGAATAGGCCTAAATCATCATCACCACATAATAATAGTAAAACAGATTCTGATTCTGATCTTGATGTTGATGATTGCGATGATAATGATGATAATCATCAAATGATGATGATGGAAAACGAGAGAAAATCATCATTTTTCATCAATGATATATTGAAAAATTCATCATCGACAACAATTGAATCGGATATAACAACAACACCATCATCAACAATGATCAATGCACATGATTTATCATTACGTGCAGCGGCATCGGCAAATGCATATAGTTTATTTGCGGCAGCTGTTGCGGCAGCCGCTTCAAAGCCAAATAATGATCCAAAAAATGGTGTCGGTAGTGGCATAATGATGGCCAATAATAATAATAATAATAATTTTCCATCATCAGCCAATACAGTAGCAGCAAATTTTTTTAGCCAAATGAATCTATTATCATCACATCCATCATCATTAGCGACAACAATTAGACAGCCATCAATACAACCACCACCACCACCACCAGTACCGCCACCATCAGCATTTGGTTCATTATCAAACATACCATTAACAACAATGGAACAGATACAAAATGCGGCAGCAGCAGCAGCAGCCGCAGCGGCTGCGGCTGCGGCCGCCACATCATCATCAATACATTCATCAAATAATAGTACAATAGCTGGAGATAGTGATGGTGATTTGGATAATGACTGTATGGATGATGATCTTTGTTCATCAAATGACGGTGAAGATGAAAGTAGTAGTAGTAGAGGTAAGTGCAACCAAACAATAAAAAAAATTATACAAAACACACAGAAAAATCACATTTACCTTTTTTTTCAAAATTATTACAAAATAAAAATACCGAAAAAAATGGTAATTAGTAATCTGAAAACGAAAATACAGAAACGAAGCTACCGAAATGTCATTTTTTTGTTTGTTTGTTTTCATTTTCTTGAAAATCTAAAGATCCCTGGAGATTATTTTTTTTTTTTTTTTTGATTCTAATTCCTTGTGGTGATAATTCCAAAAAAAAAAAAAAAAAAAAATCAATCTCTATTGATCCATAAAACGAAGCCATGAATTTACCGACAAATGATAATCACTTTTTTTTCATTTACAAATAATGAAAAAAAATCAAAATCAATTCCTGAGAGAGAGAGAGAGAGAGAGAGAGAGCAAAATTCAAAATGAAATTATCAACGAAAAAAAAAATGACGACACCCAGAATATTTTTTTTTTTTTTTGAACTAAATGTTTTTTTCACCGAAAAACACACACACACACACACACGTATGATTGTGAGTGAACAACAATTGAATTGAAACAAGGTGTCGGTATGCAAACAAACAAATTGAATATGAAAAAAAAATGGCAAAACAGCCAGAGCCAGAGAGAATATTTTCCTATGAAAAAATATTAATTATGAATTCATTATAAAATTCTAATTGATCGACACTTGACCAACCGATCGACTGACTGACTGTTTGGTTGATTGATTGATTGATTGACTGACTGAATGACAACATGAATGTTGTGTTTGTTTATTTGCAAAAAAAACACACACACACACACAATCAACAATCATTTTTACAGCAGCCAAATACATCAATCATTCACATGAAATGAAATGAAAACACTGACAAATTATAATTGTCAATGTTTTTCAATTTTATTTCAACTTACACGACACAAACAACAACAACAGAAAAAAATTGAAACAGCCAGTATTTTTGAGTAAACAAACAAATAATCAACGTGTTAAGTGTTAAATGATAATGATGATGATGATGATGGCTCTGTCACAGTGTGTGGTTTGAGCATTTGATTTTTGATGATGATGGCGATGAAAATAATGGTCACGAGTTGAATTTTGAAATTATTTTTTTGACTTTGTTTCGTTGTTTTTGTTTTGTTTTGTTTTGTTTTGTATGTAAACAACAATTAACAACACTGGGCGTCCCATTGAGAATTCACCGACAAAAAAAATTTTTTTTTTTAATTGATCAATCGAATGATGATGATGTGTCCGTTTTATTCTACTTTTATGGTCATTTTTTTTGTACGGAATTGAATCCATTCTCAAATAACGGTGAGATTCATTCACACAAAAATAACCTTAGCCTGGGCTTACCATCCATTTATCGGTTTGATTTAAAAAAAAAAATTTCATTCACATTTCATCATACGAAACAAATGCAATGAAATCACATGAGATTTATATCTGCTGTTCATTTGTCATTTGTCGTTTGTTTGTTGTTGTTGTTGTTATTAATAATGATTTTTGGTCACGCAATTTTTTTTTATTGGTGATTCGCATCCGTTCTTTCTCTCACCATCCATGGAATTTTTGTTTTTTTTTCCGCTAAATCACATTTTTCCTGGTCCACACTGTGTGTGTGTGTGTGTGTGTGTGTATCATAATTTTGTCCTTGAGAGAGAAAAAAAAATTTGCAAAGTTTTCTGTTGTTTTGCAATTGAAATTGGATTAAAAATTGAAATTCAATTCATTTCATTTCTTTTAAATTGAAAAAAAAAATAATCGATTAACAGCCAGTTTGAGTGTTTTTTTTTTGTTGACAACAACAACAACAACAACAACAAACAACAACAACAACAACAAACGATAAATATGAAATTTTCCCGTTTGAAATTTCTTTTTTTTTCCTTTAAATTGTCTCTCTCTCTCTCTCTCTCTCTCTATAATTCATGTGATTTATCGTCACTCCACTGTCTCTCTATCTCTCACTAATTATTAATTATAACATGGGAAATTGAGACAGAGTGAAACTTTGGAAAATTGTTTTGTTTGTTTTCATCCATTGTTTTTCCTGATAAATTATGGCTCTTAGTGAATTTTTTGGCTTTTAATTGTCAACAAACACGCATTTTAAAATCAGACAGAAAAAAAAAAAATTTAAATCGAATCAAATCAAATGAATGCTTATGGTTAGATAATGAACGATTTACGATGAAAACCTGTGATTAATAGGATTTTTGTGGCTGCTGCTGCGGTTGCTGTGGTTGTTTTTGTTTCACATTTTTTTTTTTTTTTTTTGATTGTTTCTACTTGGGACATTTAGCGGTTTTTTTTCACCATATAAATATGCCAATCAATACAACAAAACACAACGGTGTTGAATCATTAAAAGGATTTTTTCCCCTCTCTCTCTCTCTCTCTCTATCGCTCTCTTTCGATAAAATCAATAAAATCAATATCGGTGATTATTGTGTGCACACCAACACACACAGTTTATGATGAAATTCATTCAAGTGGATCAATGATGATGATGATGAGGATAATCAAACACACAATGGATAGATCTTTGATTTGAAAGTAAAAAAAAATTGGAATAATTAGTTATCGATAACCATATGTGTACATAATTGTTATCAATCAATCAAATTGATCAATTTGATTGATTGATTGATTGGTGTGTTGTTGTTGTTGTTGTTGTACAATCACAATATGATGATTAAATGATTCCGAATTGATCATAATGCTGTCATTGGAAAAAGAGAAACAATAAGAAAAGAAAAGTCAATCAGGAAACCAGAAAAAAAAAATCCAATACACACACACAAGGTAAATGAAAAGTGAAAATGCCAACACTGTGTGTGTGTGTGTGTGTACGTTTTTAATCGTTTTCATTTCATCTTAAATCGTTTTTAATCGTCTAATCATTGATCATTGATTTGCTCAATCAATTATCAATCGGTTTGATTGGTTGGTTGTTGGTTGGTGGTTATAAATGTCGGTCGACATCAAACAAAACAATTCCAAATGTAAAGAGAAAAAGGAGACAATTGAAAGACAAAAAAAAAATGAAAAAGAAATTAGAAATCCATTATCATATCGCAAGAGATCTAAACGAAAGTGGAGAAAAAAAAAATCAAAATCAAAATCAATTTCATATCCACCATAAACTTGATTTTTTTTTGTCTCTGTTTCTCGGGCAAATCAATATCTGTTGTCATTGTGTCCGTGATGTTGGATACGACGTTTGTCTTTTTTTTTTTTCTGTTTGTTGATAATCGAATACCAAAAATGATTTGTATCGATGATGATAATGTTTTCTGTATGTAAATTTTTTTTTTTGGATGTTGGTGTGTTTTGTGCGGCTCATCATCATCTTGAAGCTGTCATCATTTTTGTTTTGTTACCAATTGTCAAGGATTTTTTTTTTTTTGCTATTTATAGATTACTGATCAATTGTTTTTCTCGTCTCCCCCATTTTTTCCAAAATCAAATTTAGTTGGAAACAACGACAACATTGTAGCTGATTCAAGATTTCATCATCATGCTCATCAACCACAGCATGCTAATCGAATTATACCGGAATTGAAAATGCAAAAAAAACAACGTAAAGCTCGTACAGCATTCACTGATCATCAATTACAGGTAGGTGTTGTTTTTTTTTCGTTTGTTTTGGTCAAAATTTTTTTTATTATTAATTTTCATCAATTTTTTTCATTTCATTTCATTTTCAGACACTGGAAAAAAGTTTTGAACGACAAAAATATCTATCCGTTCAGGATCGTATGGAATTGGCGGCCAAATTAAATCTATCCGATACACAGGTTAAAACTTGGTATCAAAATAGACGGTAGACGGTAAGTGTGTGTGTGTGTGTGTGTGTGCATGCGAGAGAAAGAAAAAAAAAAACATACATCATCATCAATCATTCAATATATATATATGAATGTCATAGGTTTGTTTTTTTTGTTTCGCATTCTTAGGGTTAATTTCGCTTACTCTATTCGGTGGTTATACCTTTTTTTTATTGCTTCTGCTTCTGTTGTTTTTTTTTTTTTTTTGGTTGGCTGACCATCCAAGCTTGACTTTTTTTTGTTATCAAAAAAAAAAAAAACCAGAAAGACTCATATGTCCAATCTGATCTGAAGATCTTAAAACCTGAGCAAAACAAAACAAAACAAAAAAACAGAAAACAGACAAAATGAACATTTCTATTTTCTCATAATCTTTAATCATACGATTTTTAGATCGATTAAATCGATTGATGACTTTTGTTGTTGCTCGCTGTTTGTTTGTTTGTTTGTTGTGATTATTGGCCATTTTGGTCAATGACCAATGTAATGATGATCGATACTGGAATGATTATTATTATTCATTTTTTTCTCCTTGATAAGCAATATTTCTGGCAAAAAAAAAAACAATCAATCAATAACAACGACAACAACAGGGTTATGTTTAGTACAGTGAAATAATCATCAATTAATTTTTTTTTTGGATGGATAATAATTGAATTTATATGAAACATTATCTTTCTATCCATCTATCTATGTATTGATGATGATGATGATTTGATTGACATGAATATATTGAAATCTATGTAATGATTATGGCACCAAACAAGTACTTCAATCTAAAATTTTTGCAAAGATGCGCTAATATCGATCAAATAATCATCATTATTTTGGTCAAAATGGTCAAAGATGCATGTGTGTGTGTGTGTGTGTGTATGGACAAAAGAAAGACCAGAAAAAAAAATTTGAATTGACGATTAAATTATGGCCTTTCATCAACAAACGATGATGATTTGTCTCTCATTGTGTGTGTGTGTGTATGTGTGTTTGATGTTCTGATCATCATCATCATTATCAATTGATCAGAACAATGATTGCATTGGTGGTGTGTGTGTGTTTGTTCAGTATGTATTCTCGATTAGATACATTTGGGTCTAGTTTAAAATTTTTTTTTTTTTGTTATTGTCAAAACAAAATTTGGCTTCTGTTGCTGCTGTTGTGGTTGGATGTTCAATTCTCCCAAAAAAAAAATTGACCCAATATCGATCTATTAGAAATGACGATGATGATGAACCATTCAACCGACAAAATGTGATGATGATGATGATGATGAACGAAAATTTTTTTTTTCATTTTCTTTATTATTTATAAACTAATTTACAAATCAACACAAATTTTTTTTTTCTGTTTTCTGTTTCATTTTTTTTTCATTGGATTCAATCAAGTTGAACGAAAAAAATGATGATGATTGGTGATTGGTTTTTTTGTTGTTGTTGTTGTTGTTGATTGCTGAATTCATATTTTTTTTTTTTTGGTCAATATTTTTCAATTGGTCAATACTCAAATGATGATGATGATGATGATGATGGTGATGATTATGGCGCCAGACACATCAGCAAATGAGAGAGAGAAAAAAACTGTCAAAATTTTCTTTTGTATTTTTGAAATGATAAAGAGCGAAAAAAAAAACTTTAAGTTCAAATTGTTGTTGTTGTTGTTGTTACTGTTTGAACTGCTACTAATTGAGTTATATTTTTGTGAGGTCAAAATTTTTAACTTGTATAATTCGATAATGATGATGATGATGATGATTTTTTTTGATTGATTTGTGTGTAAGATTTTTTTTTTATTTTTTGCACTTGAAACTAATTTATTTATTTATTTGTTGTTGTTGTTGTTTTTTTCTCTTTCGTTCCAATATATAATTCTTGATGATGACTGATATTTAGAACCAAATGGAAACGACAAACAGCCGTAGGTTTGGAATTGTTAGCTGAAGCAGGCAATTATGCCGCTGTACAACGTATGTTACAAACATCACCATATTGGTTATCACAATATGGTAATGTGGCTACGGCTGCATTAGCAGCGGCCGCCGCTACAAATCCAACATTATCAAATAATCAGGCTGCTGCAGCTGCGGCTGCAGCGGCAGCCGCAGCAACACAATCTGGCACTACAACACCATTCGATATTTATTATCGACAAGCGGCTGCAGCATTACAACAAAAACATCCTAGTCCACAAACATCATCATCATCATCATCGACGACAACAGCAGCAACCTCATCATCTTCATCAACGATAACAACATCAACAATGATTGGAAATGGACAACAACAACAACAACAACCACCAATAGCCATTAACAATAATCATCAACATGGTTCTAATTCACCTATTTCAATTCAATCGCCACCATTATCATTAGGGACGACAATTTCAACACCAACAACTCAATCAGTATTTTCATCATCATCGTCATCATCATCATATATCACACCAACAGCCACAAATATTGGTCGTTTTAATCCATTATATTTAAGTGGATTAAATTTACCAAATCAATCGGCATCAATATTTGAAAATGGACGTTCCATGTCCAGTTTAATGATACCTAAAATGATGATGTCCAATAATGGTGGTGTGGTGGTGGTGGTGACAATAGTCTAGATATTATGAAAATTAAATCCATTCCAACATCACCACACTCATCATCATCATTATCATCATCGTCATCATCATCATCATCCTCACCAGTGGCGGCGACTACATCGGCCATAACAGCAGGTGATTCAAGTCCTGAACATAATCATCATCATCATCATCATCGACAATTATCAAGATTAACACCACCACCCACCACTGCGATTACGGCTACTACAAAATCATCAGATCGATTAAGTTGTTCACCATAAATTGATGCTGAGGTTGACATATAGGATAAATATATTGTGGGCACATACGCACACACACACACACATACAGAACAAACAAAACAATGAAGAAAATGTAAAATATTTTTCAATTTCATTCTTTTTTGGATGAAAATTTCAAATTCACATTTTAAACATTCCATAATCATAATCATCATCCTCATTACACACATATATCTATATATAGATGAAACATTTTAAATAAATTTTTAATTTAAATTATTTCAATTTCAATTTAATTTAAAAAAAATAAACATACAACTTGTATATAATAATAAATAAATAATAATATCTTGTGGCGCCGTCGTATAACGTCATTGATGACGAACCCAAATCGAATCGTATCACAACAAAACAAACAGACAAAAGAATAAATATTTCACGATTGACAAAATCTCGTAATTAATTCTCTTGTCATCATCATCATCATTATCATTACCATTATTATTTTTTAATATTTCATAATTAATATACAATTAGTGTTGGTTTGGTGTGTTGTTTTTCTGTTGCATTCTTCTCTTCTGTGTGTTGTTTGTCAATCAATAATTTTCCAAATTCCACACAATTCATATTCATATATGAATTATGATCTGTATTTTTACAGCCAACATTTCATACACAAAAAACACACACAAATACATACAATTTTCTGATAAGTTATTCTCTCTACATTTGAAACAGTGTAATTAATTTTTTTTTTTTTTTTTTTTTGTTCAAAAACAATGATTCCAATCCCAAAAGTATTGTTTTTCCCTGTGTTTGCGTGTGTGTGTAAAAGGTGTTTAGTAATTATTATGATTGTCATCATCATCATTTATTATTATTTATAATCCAAATAAATCATTGATTTGACGTTTAAAAGTATACTGGTAAAAAAAAAAAAAAATTACCACCAAATGGCAAACATCAATCATTCATCATGTTTATGATCAAACACAACAAACCAAAATAATAATGATGATGATCATTGAATGAGGAGAATTTTTTTTCTCTGATTTAAAATTCGTCCAGTTTACCGGTTGAACGGATTTATTTTCTCATTTCGCCGTCGTCGTCATCATCGTTGTTGTTGTTGTTGTTGTTGTTGTTTTGCAGCAAACACACACTAATGGTTATGATTGATTGATGTGGATGGATGAAAAATTTTTTTGTGGTGAAAAAAAAACTTTTTCCATTTTTTTTTCTCATTCATTCACTCAAATAATGTTACTTGCGGCAATTTAAAAAAAAAATTTAATTTTAAAATTGTTCAAATATCAACGAAAAATAAAAACATTGATTATCTACTTGTTGCTGGTGGTTAAAGGCAATATAAATTGAACATACATTCAACATGTGTGTGTGTGTTATACTTGGTTTTTTTTTTGTTTTCCACATGAATGAGACGCATACACACTAAAGGTAGGTGGATGTTTTTTTTTTTTTTTTTTTTTTTTTGATGTAAAACATTGATAGATGGATATTATTTATACCCACACACACATGATGATGATAATGAGCAATCATTGAATGTGAATATTGGTTAGTTTTTTTTTTTTTTTTTTTGAATAACGACAACAACAACAGCAGCAGCAAAAATTGCTGTTTTTTTGTTGCCATTTTCATCATTCACATTCACTTTAATCGGTTGTAATATCATGTGTCATTTGGGGTAGGCCGACAAATTACTCTCTCTCTCTCTCTTTATATATGCATCGCTGTGAAAATATAAAGATAGCTCTAACTACCTTAATGATGATAATATGTCATATATATAAATGAAGATGATGATGATGAAGAAGAAAAAGAAACAAACGCAATTCATTATCTGAATTGATTGTAATGAGTTTTTTTTCTTCTTTTTCTTCTTTTGCTTGCACTTGCTTGATGATGTTGATGGTGGTGATTATTCTTGTTATATTGCATATTTTGCTTGTTTCGTTTCGTTTTTTTTTTACTGTTTAATGATTCATTCAAAATTCATTTTAAATACCTGATGATGATGATGATAATGAAGATGATGATTATTATTATCAATTTCAATGATGATTGGTTTATTGGCGCCATTCATCGTAATCATTATCATTATCATCATCATCGTCATCATGATGATGATCGACAACATTATTATCATCATGGATCAAATTATTGAATATATCCATCTATTTTGTTCATTTAGTCAAATCAAATGGTTTTTTTTTTGGTTGAAAAATTCTAATAAATCATTACCTATAGGCATATTATTCATTGACAAAAATTTTTTTTTTTCGATTTTCGATTGATTTTCCATTGAAATTGCCAAATTTTATTTCATTTCGTTTTTCTTTCTTTGTTGTCCACCAAAAAATGACATGTTTTTTTCGTTTGCTTTTGAAAAATCGAAATAGAAAAACGTGACAAAATGTTTTGATTATTTATAAATTTTAGAGACAAAATGGTGTGAATTTTCTATTTCTTTACACACACACACACAAAATATTCACATTATGACGAATAAATCAAAAAATGAGCTTCTGTTCACCATTATTATCGATCGATCGATGATAATGATAGGATCAGATTGCCAAAAAAAAAAAAAAAAAAAAAAAATAAAATTGCTGCAAAATACGCACACACACAAATAACACAATGACGATCCCAATTTTTTTTTAGTAATTAAAGTGTTTTTTTACCCAATCATTTTGAACGTGTTTTATATTTGTATGTCAAGAAGCCATCATCATCATCATCGATGAACCAATCATAAGAAAATCAATCAATTTTTTGGTTTTGTTTTGTTCGATCAATCTTTTTCTCGGTGTTTTGTTTGTCGGTTTACTTTGAAAATTATCACCAACAAAAAACCACAAACCACAAATTGATGATGATGATGATGATGATGGGAACCAAAATCGTGAAAAAAAATTGAAAATTCTAATTTGTTCTGGTTCTAATGTTGTTCCAGAGAGAGAGAGAGAGAGAGAGAGAGAGAGAGAGAGAGAGCTAAACGTTGGTAGCAACAACAACAACAGGTAATCATTGGTAATCATTGGATTTTTTTTTGTTGTTTTATTTCTGTTTCCACATGTGGCCACCGTGACCGGCAAGTCCCAAAACATTTTTGGCTACCAGTAAAATAATCATCTTTTTTTTCCTTCTGAAGAAAATTATAACTTTGGATGATGATCTTTGGACCACGACAACGAATCAATCAATTTATTGTATCCGCACACACAGTGGACATCGAAAAAAAAAAAATTTCATCCCTTTAATATTAATGCTCCAAGGTCTAAATAACAACAGCAGCAACAACAACAACGAAAAAAATTTTCAATTACTTTTAAAAGTAATTCTAAGGTCCATTTCCGTTTGAAATTCAACAAAAAAAAATGAATGAATTACATCCAATCAATTAATCAATCGGTTGGTCATTATCATCATTTTGATTAATCAATCAATAAACAATAAACAAAATTGATGATGATGATCAATCAATTGAATGAATGAATGAATGGAAAAAATTCCAAATGACCAACAAACTGAAATTGATTATTGAATATTTCCATCCATTCATCCACTCACACACACACACACACACACCATTAGTGTCATCGAACCCTGAGTTTCTGTGTGTCTGTATATGCAAAGCATCAATAATCAATAATACCGATTATTATTAGATAATGTTTTCGGGATTTAATAATAATAAAAAAAAAAAATTTCTTGAGCAATCATTTCGATATAATATCCATGTGTGTGTGTGTGTAGTGAATTTGATTCTGATTTCTGATTTTTTTTCTCGTACAGAGAAAAAAGCCAGAAAAATTACCGGTTATAATATTCTCACATATATAATGATGATGATGATGATGATGGAGTAGTATGGAAAGGAAAAAAAATCTCTCAAGAAGCTCATCATTAAACGACAACGAAACAAACGAAATGTTTTGACCATTTTTTTTTCTCTTAGCTACTGTGTTTATGTGTGATTGTGGGGGTCACCATCACCACCACCACCACCATCACATCGTCGTTTATTCAATCCAAATGTCGGATTGGTTGATGTTTTGTTAATGATGAATATGATGTTGACGAAAAAGGCGTGTTTCCATTTTTGTTGTTGTTGTTGTTGTTGTTTGTTGTTTGTTTGTTGGCGCCAACAAACATCAATGATTTGAGATTTGACATTTTTTTTTTGTTGTTGTTTTGGTTTACCGCGTAATATTTTTCGCATCAATATGTCCAATCTTTAATTCTCAATTTTTTTTCTGTTTATGTGATATTCGTTATTCGTTAAATGTCCATTTGATGAACAATGATGGACTATGAAGACGACGACGACGACGACGTCTTGGTCGTGAATATCATCATCATCATCGACGACGATGATGACGACGACGACCAAATATTATTACCACTATCAATTCATGATACACGCGTGAAACGCCCTATTAATAATAGAGTCTGATCAAAAATGTGAAATTTTGAAATGAAATAAATGATAATATATATATAGTGTATATAGTGTATGTATGTATGTATGAATGAATGGAATAAATGTTGAACACATTGATACTTTGGGGACTTTTTTTCTTTTGCTTTTTTTCAAAATTCAAAGTTTTCCATCAACAGAAAAAAAACAGAAAAAAATTATGTCCGACAATGAATGTCGGCTTTTTCTCTCTTTAGCAGCAGCAGCAGCCAATGGCCACTATTTTTATTGGCTAGACATCGATAATTGGAATATGAAGAGAGAGAGAGATGGACGAATATCCAAAT